GAACCCCCCAATCTAATGCTGGGGACCACAGGCAAGGAAAGGGGTTAGGGGTCCTTTCTTGTACCACACAAGCCTTCCCCCAATTTTCTCATGCACACAACAGTGCAATACCAAGATGAGGACTTTCGACCAAGTATAAAACCACAGAGAAGACCAAATTTTACAAAAAGGGGAAGAGAATGAAAACACAAAAGGCACACACAGCCACATATACACAATGAACCTTTTAGACCTTGTCTCCAATCCAATTCCTCATCCCTGGAGACTCAGGAAGGGAGAAACTAGGCTGCTGGTGCTAAGACCATGAAAGGGAAGGCATGGAATCCCCTACCTTGGCCAGGAGAGCACAGCAGGGCTTCTGGTGGGAAAACGCCCTGTGTCAAGGTAGTGGATGCACAGGGCTCGGCTGGCAGGGTTTTCACTGAAATCTAGACCCTACCTTTCCATTTTGGCACAAGAGAAAGGGCAGAGGAATGCACCCTGCTTTGCCTGGCACAGTGTTAGAAAGGAAATTCAACATCCCTACAGCCCAGAAAGCTACACAAGAACAGCACGAGGATGAGGTAGCCCCTACTGGGCATCAGCAGAGGACAAGAAATGGGGCATAGACACAATCAAATCCTAGGGGCAAAGGCTTGAAGGTATGAAGACTACCTCTCCAAGTGGTATTGCCATGGGCATAGTGGCTCCCTTTCCATCTTGAGTCCTCTTCCTTCTGCTCCTGGCCACCCCCTTCCCCACCTATACCTTCTGCCTGATGTGGGGAAACTGGTCTCTCCCCAGTGCCTTCTTCCATTGTGAAAATCTAACTTCTCTTCTTCCTCACCTCCTACTGCGTCATTGTGTCTTTCTTCCCATGGACCCTCGGCCTATTTCTGCACCCTTGCGGCCAATAAGCTCAGCAGATACTTGACCAGTGTGCTGAAGGCAGAGATGGCATGAGGCTCTCCAGGTAATCTCTGGTACATGATAACCTGACAAAGGGCATGGGTGTGACATTAAACACCGCAGGGATATCCCTTCCATTTAGTTCAGGTGTTTCCCTAACTGTGGCAAGAAATTGCCGTGTGGTGCAGTAAGCTGGGGACCAGTCTCCTGATTGGCTGGTGAGATACAATGGCTGCCTGCTGACAGGAGATACAGGGACAAGGATGGCAGAATGATTCCTCCCATCAGAGCTCCTTCTGGTGGAGCTGATCAACGTCCCTGTAGCCATTTGGAAAGGGAGCAAAGGCTCAGCACCAGCACATCCATAGGACTGGGTGACAGGCAGGTGAATCCACTGTCCACACCAACATCAAAATGGCTGGAGGCCTAACAGCAAGCAGCTATGGGGCTTGCTGGCTTTTATAAAAGCTCGGCCTCCGGTTCCCATCTAAGTACCATTTTTGAAGGTTCTTTTGTTTCCATTTTTCTAGCATCAAAAACCTTCCAAAAATTATGAAATATATATGCATATATATACGTCAAACCCCCAAAACTTGAGGTATATAAATTCAAATTATTATCCAGAGGAACTTCCCCCAAACACATAGTTCAAAGAACCCACTTTCAAAGGGGGAATTGGGTTTCCCTTCTTGACCCCTTTTCTCCTCCCTGGCCCCCAATTCATCCCTTACTGGGAGCCAAAGGCAATAGGAATGTTGGGGAGGAGATAGGGTCTTGGGACACAACCAAGGTGCAGATTGGACCAGACCATATTGTGGTCCCAACCCCATTAGAAATGAACTAAAGAGGCTCCCTCCCTGCTCTAAAAATGAACTAAAGAGGCTCCCTCCCTGCTCTAAGTCAATCTATAATAGATGAGGGAGATGAGAAGCCCAGCAGCTCTGGGCTCTGATTAGCAAATTTGCATGGAAACAGATTGAAGCCTTCATAGAAACAAGACTGGATGGAGATGACCTCTGATCCAATCTTGAAAAGAAATATAAAAGGATGAGTCCAGCCCTCACCTCATTGCATCTCCCCAGGCACAGTTCTGTCTCCACTGGGGTTTCAGTTCACTATGGGATAGGTTAGCAACAGGTGAGGAACGTCAAAGGACCACAGCCTCACTATTGGATCCCCATCAGAACTGGGGTTTGGCATCTTGCAAAACAGAGTGCAGGGACATGACGGGCCTTCCCATCAAGCTGGCCCAGCGATGCACACACGCCCCCACACACACACACGCATGCACAGACACAGAGGGCACAGAGCCCAGCATGGGCTCCACTCACAGTGACTTGATGAAACTCATGGAATCTTTGAGCTGGTCTAGAATGAGTTGGGAAGAAGGCTGTGGGCTCCTCTCCCTGAGGACAGTTCAGATACTCAGTGGGACTCAGGCTCTGGTTTGATCAGAGAGGGGATAGAAAGAGCATCATGGGATGCCACCCCCAAGGAAGAATGCCAGAGTCCATTCATCCACATGAGAGAACCAGATGCCTCTTTGGACAGGTCAGACCTGTGTGGAGGAGAGGAGGGCCTGGAGAAGCCAAGGGCTGTGATGAGAGCAGAATGTGCTCCCCAAGGCTTTTCCTTCTCTGACCCTCTTGGGAAGTCATGCTTCCTCACTCTACACCAAGGCATCAGTTTCTGATGTCACAGCAGTTTAGCGGTTTACCCCTTTGTCCCCCAACCTTGCACAGTGAGAGCTCCCTGCCTCCAGCGGAGGAGAGAATAGCAAAAACTCCACTCTCAAAGCAGAGTGGAAGTAGCAAGAAGCCGGCTGAGGCAAGAAACCCCAGCTTCCAAATGCCCAGGCACTGTCCATGGGCATTTGCGTCCACGGTCCCAGGTGTGCTGACCATGCCCCTACTTTGGAGGTGGGGTAGGGAGGGGATTCTTGCCTACCCAGCACCAAAAACTCCATGGGAACAGACCCAGGATGGCCCTCATCCCATCTCCCTTTGTGTGGATGAGGTTTATGAATGATGTCGCTTTATTCAGTCTGGCTCCCCCTGTGGTTGGGAGGGACAAGGGATGGACACAGGACAGGAGGGGAGGTGAGAAAGTTGGGAGGGCACGACACCAACTTCTTCTACATTGACTCACTCTCCCCACTTCCTGTCCTGCAGTCCCCACAGCCCCTCCCACCTCAAAGCTTTTCTCGCCTCAGTCCTTCTCCTGGGCAGTGCTGTCCTCAGAGATGCCTTGGGCAGCCAGTTCAGCCAGCACATTATCCAGGTAATTAGCATCTGGGTAGCCGTGGCCAGTGAGATTAGAGCCAAACTCTGTCTTGTGGTGGACCTCATTCCAGATGACGGTATCTGACTCGCCCGTGGTGCTGGAGGTGCCAATGGCAAAAATGAGGCGGCGATCCCAGGCCACGAGCAGCAGCTTCAGAACCTAGAGGGACAAAGGTGGGACATGAAAGGCAGGCATTCATGGGCGATCAAACACTATCCTTTGGTAGAGAGTAAGCCCAAGGGTCCCATCCCTTCCTGCATCATGGTGCTCTCAGTAGCCCAAGGGAAAGAAAGAGATTTGGATTTGGAGTTTGGGAGCTAGAGGCTGAGCTCTGGCGCTGTCACTGAATAACTGTGTGACCTTGGAGAAGTTATAGCACGTCTCTGAACTTTAACTTTCTTATTTATGAAATGGCAATGGTACAATTGGCCTCTGAAGGTTGTGAACGTCTTACTGGGTACTACATGAAAAGTATTTTCACACCAGTGCCTACAACGCACTACTTGATAAATGTTATCTGCTAACATAATGGCTGCATTTTGAAAGATAGAATCTAGGAGTTGAAGGCGCTTATGATCTGAGAACTTCTGAAGCTCTGCCCTTCATTACCACACCACTACCTCAATGTAGTATTAATTTATCCAAAGCTGACGTTGTGCAATATTTCTCTAGTGACATCTTGGAGCATTTCGATTTTCTGTAGGTGAGAAAACTGAGGCTCAAAGAAAGTTTTGGGGCCTGTAGAATGTTCTAAATCAGTTAAATTTTAAAAATGTTTGTTGAGCAAGACTAATGCCTAATGCCCTGTTCCAGGCCTTGGTCAGAGTAGTGTCCAGCATGAAGAAAAAGCATCCAATAAAAATGTCTTGGGTTCAAAACTGAACTACTATAAACATGGTATGGGCTGGAGGAGAGGAAACCATCATAGTATTAGTAATAATAAAAGCAGACATTAGAAATATGAGCTGCTATTTCCTGAGTGTGTACTTTCTAAGTGCTGGGCAATGAGACATGTAATCGTTACAGTAATAAGATGATATAGGTATGGCCATGTGCCACATAGTGACATTTTGGTCAATGACTAAACACATATGCGATAGTGATCTCATTAGATTACAATAGAGCTGAGAAATTCCTATTGCTCTACCACTTAATTATGCTGTACTTTTAATCATTATTGTAGGGTGCATGCCTACTTATTGAGAAAACGTTAACTGTAAAACAGCCTCAGGGAGTTTCTTCAGGAGGTATTCTAGAAGAAGGCATTGTTATCATAAGAGATGACAGCTCCATTCCTGCTATTGCTCCCAAGGCCTTCCAGCGGGGTAAGATTTGGAGGTGAAAGACAGTGATGCTGATGATTCTGCCCGGAGTAGGTCAAGGCTAATGTATATGTTCATGTGTTAATTTTAAATAAAAAGTTTCAAAAGTAAAAATAAAAAAAATAAAGTTTTAAAAACAAAATAGCTTATAGAATAAGAATTAAAGAAAATATTTTTCTACAGCTGAACAATATGTTTCTGTTTTAAGCTGTGTTGTTACAAACAACTCAAAAGTTAAAAAAAATTAAAAGGTTTATAAATGGGGAAGTCACAATAAGCTAAGCTTAGTTTATTATTGAAGAAAGAAAAGTAGTTTTATGTAAATTTAGTGTAGTTTAAGAGTACAGTGTTCACAAAGTCTTTGGTAATGTACGGCAATGTCCTAGGCCTTCACACTCACTCACTGATTCACCCAAAACAATTTCCAGTCCTGCAAGTACCATTCATGGTAAGTGCCCTATACAGATATACCACTTTTATCTTTTATACTGCATTTTTACTATACCTTTTCAGTGTTTAGGTATGTTTAGATTCACAAATACTTACCATTATACAACTACCTATAGTATTCAGTACAATAACATGGTGTACAAGTTTGTAGTCTAGAAGCAATAGGCTATACCATATTGCCTAGGTGTGTAATAGGCTATACCATCTAGTTTTGTGTAAGTACACTCTGTGATGTTTGTATGATGATGAAGCTGTCCAATGATAATTATATCCCTGTCATTAAATGACAAATAACTGTACTCTCATTATCCCCCTCAAGGAAACAGAGGCTCAAAAGATAAAGACTTGCTTTGGTCTCATAGCTAGTAAGTGGTTGGGGTTGTGGGGTTAGGGGATTGATTTCAGGACTGCCTGACTCCATAGCTCATGGTCTGAATCACCACTCTGTTGACTCCCAGATAGGAATCAGTATAGAATTCATGGAGGAGGCTGCTTCTGAGCTGAGTAGTAAAGGAAGGGAAGGGAAGGATTTGAGGTATGTCAATAGAGAAGAATGCGTAGACATAGTAAACAAATATAAACTCAAGGCATGGATAAATTACAATTGCTGTCTCTATGCTGTGCATTTTACAAAAGATATTTTCATTTCATTTTTCCAACATCTTGTCCATACAGATGGAAATTATCACCACTATTTTACAGATTAGGAAACAGACTTCAAGACATGAAGTTTCATGCCAGTTCCCACAGCTAGTAAATGACAGAAATGGGACTTGAACCCAGGCTGGTCTGGCTCCAAAGCCTATCCTCCAATCATACCTCAATCTACAATGAAGCCCAAGGTTAGCGTACTGGAACAGCAGATGTAAAGGATAAGGATGGGAAATTAGTGTGAGGAGAAAGTTTAACCCACACTGCAGTCGGTTTTATATGTCAAGGTAAGAAGACTGCACTTTGTTATCTCTTTGTTTTATTTCTTTTACACACAAAAACCTTGATTCTAAAAACTCTTTGAGATACCTAATCTGGCAGCAGATAAAAGATGAAGAAGTCTTATATACGTTGGTGGTGGCAGGGTTAGAAGAGGGGTCTAGTGGTTTGGAAGGCAGTGAGTGTGTGGGGAGGAATGAGCTAAACGGATGCGATGGATAAGAACAGGAGTCCAAGAAGGTTAGTGTGCCCATCTGGGTACCAGGGATGCTGAGTATGTCATTAATATAAAGAGGGAGGCCTGGAAGAAAAGCAGCTCTTGACAACAGGATTCTAGTTGTAACTGCAGGACTTTGCAGCGGAGACATTTTGCCAACAGTTGGGATGTAGCTCCAGGGCTCAAGCACAGAAATCTGGCCCTTCAAGGCAAACAGTATCAAGAATTGTCCCAACTTTTAATCTGGAAACACTGCACTGGCACATCTCGATGTGGTTGATTCTCTATTTCCTCCAAAACACCTGCTTCCCACCTGTAGGGAGACCAGATCCATACCCTTTGACATGAAACCCAAACTGCCTCCTTGTAGGCAGGTCACTGGCCCACCCCTTGTCTGGCTTGCCTAGGACTTTTTGGGGCCTGTGAAGGATGAGTGAAAGTAACAAGCAACCAAGAACTTTTAGATGGCATGATACACTTCCAATTGGGTTCTCTGTTTGTCCTCCACCTCCTTCAATGGGAAGGGCATGGAGCAGAGAAGGGCTGCTCCTTCCACCTGGGCTCTAGAACAGGAAGACACATAGAGCCAACTGAAGCTGCTGCTATGGTCTGAATATGTGTCCTCACCAAATTCCTATGTTGGAATCCTCACCCCGAAGGTGACAGTATTAGAAGGTGAGGCCTTGGAGAGGTGATTAGGTCAGAACAGCAGAACCCTAATGGATGACATTAGTGCCCTTATAAAAGAGGGCCCAGAGAAACCCCTTGCCCCATGTGGGGACACAGTGAGAAGGCACCATCTATGAACCAGGATGGGTTCATATAAACAAGTCCTAGCCAGACACCAAATCTGCCAGCACCTTGATCTTGGACTTCCCAGGCTCCAGAATTGTGAGAAATAAGTGTCTGTTGTTTATAAGCCACCTTGTCTACAGTGCTGTGTTACAGCAGCTAGAACAGACTAAGACACTGACCCATAGCAACAACATAGCCATAGCTACTGACATGCAAAGTACATGACAAATAAATACTTGTCGGAGTAAGCTGCTGAAATTTGGAGAGGAAGCTCTCTAAAATACATCTTGTCCAATATTCCCCCCAGCACTCCCTTAGATCAATGATTCCTACTCCTTTTGAGATCAGGAAAGATTTTGAAAATCCAATGATTTTCTGGCCTCATCCATAGAAATACAAACATAAACTTTTTATTCCAATTTTAGAGTTCATAGAACCATGGAAGCCTGATCATGAATCACTAGGAATCCAGAAACCCAATGATTGTTTTCTCTGTCCTTTTGAGAAAAGAGCAGATACTTTTCCCAAAAGGGAAAAAGTCAAATAATATGAAAGTACATAAAAAGAAAATAATCTACATATTAAGATCCCTGCCCCAGACCAGTGGTTCTAAAGCTTTAATGTGTTGTCAGATCAGCTATGCATCTCATTAAGATGACGTAGCTTCTGATTCTTCATTTCTATCAAGCTCCTATGTGGTGCTACTGGTGCTGGTCCCAGGACCAGCCTTTAAGCAGCAGGGCTCTAGACACAGGATCTTAAAATAGATGAATTATTGCCAGTAATACCCTAGAGAGGAAACAAACAAACTGATATGGTTTGGCTGTGTCCCCACCAAAACCTCATCTCGAATTGTAGCTCCCATAATTCCCACATGCTGTGGGAGGGACTCAGTGGGAGATAACTGAATCATGGGGGTGGTTTCCCCCATACTGTTCTCTTGGTGGTGAATAAGTGTCACAAGATCTGATGGTTTTATAATGGGTTTCCCCTTTCACTTGGCTCTCAATCTCTCTTGACTGTCGCCATGTAAGACTTGCCTTTCATCTTCTGCCATGATTGTGAAGACTTCCCAGCCATGTGGAACTGTGAGTCAGTTAAACCTCTTTCCTTCATAAATTACCCAGTTTCATTTATGTCTTTATTAGCAGACTAATACACAAACTAAATGTCCCACTCCCACCCCAACTGCCAAAAAAAAAAAAAAATTCTAGTCATAGCCACCCCCTGCCTATGGTTGACTCAAATTTGACCTTGTTACTGTGTACATCTAGTGTTAAAAGAAACACAGTTCTCTTTGGTCTGTGCACTGTAAGAAGCAAAACTTTGAACCTTGACGTAGAAGTCAACTGTCCGGATCTATTCTAAAACCTAGTTCTATGTGGAAATCCCCAGACTTACTTTTCTCCCTTTCTCGCTGTCTGGAAGGTAACAGTGTCGTGGGAAGCCTCGGGCGCTAAAACTCTTCCCAGGATTCGGGTGTTCTGGTCCCTGAAAGCAGAAAGCAAGCAAGAAAATGGCATTTTTCAAAATATTTCTGATAAAAGGGGGGTTAGGCTGTGACTAATTTCAATAATGATGACAATAATGCTCCTAGAACCTCAACAGAGAATAGACCCAAAAAGCAGTGTGAGTGGTCATTTAACACATTTCTGCATCCTTAGATGTGGGTTTAGATGCAGAGCTGTTACCTTGCACTGCATTAGCTGGAGCCCTCTCTTGGGGTTTTTGTTCTCCATCTCTTTAAGGGGAATGACGCAAAGTCCTTCCCTCATGGAGTTGTTATAAATGTTAAGTGAGCGGTGCCTGATGTGTAGTTAGAGCTCAGTAAATGTTAAAATCATTGTCCATCATCTTCATCATCTACTGTCTTACAGAAGAAAAAGGCTGCAGTGCAGAGAAGATAAGTGGCTTCTGTAATATTAGTGGTTTTGCTAAAATTGAATCCCAGGTTTCCTGAGGCACACTCCACATTTTTAACTACTCAGAATAAAGAAAGTGCCTCCAGGCTATGAGCCATGCCATCAGAATTTTCTGAACCATTCTTGTGGATTTTCTCCTTCGTCCTCATGGGGTTTTGTTTGTTTTCCTTTTTAACGATAGGAATTGGGATAGTCAAGACTAAAAATCTTCTAACAGCATTTCAACTATTGCCACTCAATACCCTATTAAGTAGGCAGGCTCTGGCCACTGAGTGAGAAAAAAACTGAAGCACAATTGAGTGAGAATAGGCTTCCTAATCAATGCCCAGAGTGGGTCCACAGGTGTCTTTGAGAAGCTCATGAAAAGTGACAAATTTTCTCCTGGTAACAATGACCATATCCCCTCTTCCCCATGCTAAGGTTTGTCTCTAATTTCTGAGCATCCCTGACCTCCTCAGGACTGGAACCCTCTTAAAAGACCCCTTCCAGATTCAACCAGTATAATATTGATAATTGCATGCAGCTCTTGGCACAAGCTCTCATGTAGATGATCAGCAAATATGTCCTGGCTGATTAAATGAATGAGTGTGGAAGAACAAATGAATGAGAAAACTGTAAGAAAAAAACAGATTTTTCTTTTTCTCTTATTAGGGACCATGGTTCCAAAATGATAAGAAATTTTGTGGTTTTCCATTTTTTAAAATAGCTAACATGATTCAAGATCACGTGTGGTTTGGCACGGTAAATGCAGTGGGGTCTCTCTCAGAAGGGAGAGGCCACTGCGAGCTGAAAGAAGCAACAATGCCTTATCGGAGGTGCAGAATCCAAGTTATGAATTTCACATTCACAGGAAATCACTGCAAATTTACAACCTTCCCATGGCTGCGGCTGTTTCTAAATCAAGCTGCCTGACTGAAAGGCCAATTCTAACCATGGCTCTGACTGCTCCTGATCTGCCTGGGATTGCCGCTTGTGTGGCCAACTCAGATGCCTGCCTGGCACTGACCCAACATGGCTGTACCCTCCCAGCTCGTTGCTAAGTGGAGCAGTCACGACTCTGCCTCAGCCCAGCCCAGAGTTTCTCCCCAAGGGAATGGTTCTCTGCAGCGAATGCAGAGCTTGAAGGTCTCGACTCCTTACAGAAGCCCATGCCTGTGTGGTCCCTGGAAACTTGAGTAACATGGCGCTGAGTATCCTGCCACTTACACTCAGGGATGAATGCATATCCTAACTGTGGAGACCTACACTTCCCGTGATACGAGCTTGGGTTTTTCAGGAAGAGCCACCGGGGCACCCATCAAGGCAGCATGCACCACCTCTATCCCCTAGTGTAGGCTCTCTGCTCTTTAATCCTGGAGGAAATGGTAGCCCCACCCTTGTCTTTGCATGTTTTGGTCTGTTCTACTGCTCACCAGACCATCAGCTGCTTCTCCCAAGTTCTGTTTTTTCATTCATGTCTCTATCACCTTGGCTCATTGCCTCCAAGACACTCCAGAAGTCTCACCTGACCCCATATCCAACCACACCTCTCTCTTCCTTATCCTGGCCTTCCCTGGTTCAGGCCCCATTCCTAGGGCCTGGACCATGCAGTGGTCTTTTAATTGGTCTTCTTCCCTCTGGCCATCCCCCACTCTTTTGCCTGACTAGCCTTCCTAGAGCATAATTCAAATCACACAATGGTCCATATTCTTAACCTCACACTCAATAACTGATGAGTAAAATCCACGGCCCCTGCCCTGGTATTCAAGGCCTTCTGTGATCTGGCTGCAACCTCCCTCACAGCCTAGTCTTCTCCCTCCACCTCCTTCACGCTCCCTCCCTCTACTTCCTTGTAAGTCTTGAGACCCAAATTAAACCCTTCCTTCATGCCCTTCAATACACAATTTTTTTCCTCTACAACTGTGTTACCTCCTCCCACGAAAAATGTTGTCCCCCATTTCTTTATGTCTTTCTAGACTCAACTAGAGAATTCCCTGCACTTGAAAGTCCCCTCTGACCTTCCCAGACAGACAGACAGACAGACATAAGCCCCCCTTCCTTCCCATGACAAGCAGGACCTCAAATAATGTTGACAACCAGGTATTGAGCACCTTGGTACTGTGTCCTTCCTTCACTATGCATAGAAAAACTTTATCTCCCATCCTCACCAAACCTCTGCCGTTTGGGCTCCTGGCTGCACAGGTGAAGAAACCAAACTCAGAAATGTCAAGGGACTATTGCCTAAAACAGCTGTCTCCAACCATTTTGGCACCAGGGACTGGTTTTGTGGAAGACAACTTCCCCATGAACCAGGGGAGTGGGGTATGGTTTTTGGATGATGCAAGAGCATTACATTTATTGTGCCCTTTCTTTTTATTATTACATTGTAATATATAATAAGATAATAATAATTATTATTTTTTGAGACAGAGTCTCACTCTTTCACCCAGGCTGAAGTGCAGTGGTGCAATCTTGGTTTATTGCACCTCCACCTCCCAGGTTCAAGCGATTCTCCTGCCTCAGCCTCCCAAGTAGCTGGGACTACAGGCACACCACCATGCTTGGCTAATTTTTTTTGTATTTTTAGTAGAGATGGGGTCTTACCATGTTGGTCAGGCTGGTCTCGATCTCCTGACCTTGTGATTCACCTGCCTTGGCTCCCAAAGTGCTGGGATTACAGGCGTGAGCCACCACATCTAGTCTAAAATAATTATTCTTAATGAAGATCAGTGGGAGCCTTGAGCTTGTTTTCCTGCAACTAGATGGTCCCATCTGGGGGTGATGGGAGACAGTGACAGATCATCAGGCATTAGATTCTCACAAGGAGCATGCCTAGATCTCTAGCATGCACAGTTCACAATAGAGTTTATGCTCCTATGAGAATTTAATGCCCCACTTACCTGGCAGAAGGCAGAGCTCAGCTGGCCCACCACTCACCTCCTGCTGTGTGGCCCCTTCGGTGGCCTGGGGGTTGGGGACTCTTGGGCTGAAGGCACCAGCTAATAAAGACTCGGCCAGGAAGTGAAACTCAGGTCCATCAGACTTTGAAGGCCTTATTTTCTCACTTTGTCTACATTGCATCTCATAGGTTTTGTTAGCAATATGCATTTATCTTCCCCTGACTGGTTAGTAAGTCCCTCCAGGAAGAACCATGATTTATTCACTGCTTTTTAAAGGCTACCAAAGCTTCCTGTTTTATTTCCTTCTCACCAATTATCACTATCTGGAAGTATCTTGTTTATTCATTTGTTTCCTTTATGGCCTTCCTGGTCCCACTAGAATAAGGGCTTCAGGGAGCAAGGACTGCGTCTATTTTGCTCATTGCTTCTCCAGCATCTAGAACATGTCTGGACCGTAATCCACACTCATATATTTGTCAAATAAAAGACAAAATGGAAGAAGAAAACTAGGAAGAAGGAAAAGAGGCTAGATGAATTAATATTTGCTAAAGAAATGCATACAGTCAATGCCCTAGAACACTCAGAAAAAGCTTCATTGTGTGAAGGAAAGTGCCACATTTGTATTTAGCCAGGAATAGTGTTCAAATGTGTTCTTCAGGACTTTCAAAGAATCAAAAGAGGAAAGAAATGCCCTCCAAATCAAAGTCAAGTATAGCTATCAAATTACAAATGCAAATACCATTTGAAAAATTCCACTTTTGGAAAATTATTCTACAGACACATTCACATGTGTACAAGGTGATTCATTCCAGCATTATTTGTTGTAGACAAAGATTGGCAACAATCCACATGCCCACCAAATGGAGACTGCTGAATGCAAATAGTGGTACATTTATACAATGGATGATTACACAGACACAAGAACGAGGAAGCTCTCTCTATACTGATGTGGAGAGATCTATAGACTATATTGTTAATTGAAAAATGCAGGGTGCTGAACAAGGTGCCTAAATGTCACTGTTCGTGAAAAAAATGGGAGGGGTGGATACAGTTCTCTGTTGCATGTGCACAAAGAATCCTGGAAGGATCCATAGGAAAGTCAGAACAGTGGTAGTGAAGTTGGGGGATGTGGTGTCAGTGGGTGAGGCTGGGTAGATGGGGGACAAGTGTGGGAAGGAGACTCTTCATGTGTAACATTTTACCTACAAACACCTAAAACAATAGAATCCGAGGGCTGAGAGAAAGGCCCACCTAAGAGAAAGGCTCACCTGAATGCCAGGGGGGATGCTGTAGATGATCCGGATGGTTTTGCAGTCCGGGTGGCCAGGTAAGGAGTGGGGGATGAGGTGGTACTCCATCTTCCCCGGAGGCTGGGTGCCTGTCTTCACCCCATAAATGGTCTTGCAAGTTGGACACTGCAAACTCCCATCCTGAGAGGCCAAGGCCAGAAGAGCCAGACTGAGAAACAGTTCTGCTAATAACTTCTTCACCCAGTCCCAAAAGGTACCAGAGATAAAGGTGCACCCTGATGAGTGATAGATCTTAGTTTTTCCCTTCCAGCCCAGTCACCTAGGCTATTTCTGCTTTCTCCAAAGTAACGGGAGGTAAATTCCACAACTGGTACCATGCTCCAAGCTGAGGGATATGTAAGAGAAGCCCCTGTCCCTGATGAGGGGACCATATCACTAGGGCAGGCGCATACACTGAGAGGAGCATACATAGGAAGTCATTATTCAGCCACCCACTACCAAATGGATGGAACAGACAGCAAGACCAGGAGAGCAGTAACTGCCCAGTTCCTGAGCATCAGAATCACCCACAGAGCTTGTTAAGCCTGGCCGCATCAGGTCCACTGAATCAGAACTGGGAAGCTACGGAGTGTAGTAGTTCAGACCACAAATGCGAAAATCAAACTGCCTAGACGTAATTCTTAACTCTGCCATCTGCCTGCTGTGTGACCTTGGACAAATTAACTTCTTTGAGTCTCAGTTTCCCTTACAGAAGAAAGATAAAAAATATCTGTCTCATTGGGATGTTGGGAGAATTAAATGAGATAATCCATAGGAAGCTTTTAGCTTGTGGTATATCTAAATGTTATTAGCATTTTTATAATTTCTATGGAAAGACTGATGCTCATCCAGGTTTGGAAACTACTGCTCTGAAAAAAGAAATCGGCCACTAAGAGCTAGAGTAAATGAGGATAACTTTAAGAAAATGGTCCTTGACGAATAGCTATGAATTTGCTTAGAAGGATAGAGGATAACGTCTGCACAGATACCTAGAAGAAAGAATGATGCCATTCATTAAAGTGCTTTAAATCATACTATAAAGAGAGTTTAACATTTCTTGTTTCATTTAGGCCACAGCTTCTGACACTGGCCTGGAAGAAATTATTAGCCCCTTTTTAGAGAGAGGGGAATTGAGGCACAGCAAGATTAAAGGACTTGCTGCTTGTCAGGGTGTGAGGTCTGTTTAACCCCCCCGCTTTGCATTGCAACTCAGTGGCTCCATTAGTGGGAAGAGGCAGTTCTGGATGCAGGGATGGACAGGGTTATGGTTTCACTGCAGGGCCTGGTGAGGTGCTGCCTGGAGGAGGACCTGGGCACCAAATCCTATTCCCAGGCTAGCAGAAAGGAGGGGTGAAGAGAAGGAAGGCGCATGGGCTGGGAGTGCTGTGTGTGAAATGTGCTGCTGCGCAGCTGGGATGAAAGCTTGCCAGGACATCCCCATCTCCTCAGGAAGACAGGGATCCTCTGCTGAGCTATTTAGGGACTTCTCCACTCTACTCACTTAAAGCAATAGCTCATATTCAGGCGACTATTCTCTGAAACCACGCTCCTGCTCTCTGCTTTGGCCTTGACTTGCTTCATGACCTAGGGCGAATCACTCCCTTCTTTCTGGGCCCTTTTCTCTCATGTGTTTGATAAAGTTAAAATGCAGGCTTCAAAGTATTCATGCAAAAGGGAATAAAGCATAGAGTCTTGAGAAACATTTTTGAAAGCCCCACGGAAATAAAAGCAGAGTTACCATACTCTTCTTGGATATAGACATCAAATAGGGAACAAATGTGCTAAGAAACCCCTTTAAGCCCAAAATAACCTCTTGAAATGCAAGATGCCAATGAAAGCTTTTAGCCCAGGGTTGGGAAAGTGAGCAAGTGATCCAGATTTGCATCCCCCATCAGTAACTGACCACCACTATGAGCTTGTCTCTCAAGGACAACAAGAAAGTACTCTGGGAACTTCAATCAAATAGGCTACATGAAGATGAAGGAAAAAATTATAGCCTTTAATACAAAGGACATATCAATTTGAATAATAATAACCTAACACCCCATAAAGCAGGTATGGTTTTCATCTCCATTTTCCAGATGGAAAGTGAAATCTCAAAGAGATTGGAAAACCTTGCCCAAGGTCATTCAGCTAATAAGCCGGGATTCAAGCTCAGGTCTCCCACCTCTCTTGCCTCTCCTTCTTTCCCACTGTAAGAGACGCACAGAGCAGACCCTGAAATCCAGACATACTTCTTGCTTAGTGAGAGGTTGGGAGCTATCAGTTATATCTCAGACTCTAAGGTAATCCAAGCTTAGCCTGGGGAAATAAGTAGTATTCAAATTCATGGAAATGGGGAGTGAAAGTTATCTCAGGTACAGGAAAGAGCATGAGTCAATGACATACGAAATGCTCAGACATTTAAGGAGATAATTGTCACCTATGGAGACTTCCAGATTCCAAAGAACTGGCTCTAATGAGGGGATATCACTACATTGTCAGATAATAGACAAGCATCCCAAACAGCCTTCCCCTCTTCCAACATTCTAGGGCAGATATTACCAGGTGTACTGTGGCAACAGTCTTTAATATCTTTGAAAGGCCAGTCAAGGGTGTTTTGAAATTGTCCAAAGAAAATTATAGTTGAAAATCACTATCCCTGGAAAAGAAAAAGTGGTTGCAAAACCCATTTACAATGCTGTGAATGAATACTCACCATGGGTCTAGCGCTGTGATAAGAACTTCCATCTCTCTCACTGATGGGGACACACTTCACCTAGCAATGGGCCATGACAATGGGCCACTCCCCTCAGAATCCCCATGGACAAATACCCACCCCCCTCTTAGACCTGACATCAAAGATTGAGAATCAGATAGCACAGCCCAAAAGGGAAGGTGAAGATGGGTTTTACCAGCACCATAATTGAGTGAAGAACTGATCCTGCTGAGAATAGCCAAGATCATCACTCTTGCCTAGGGGTACCTCTAGGACTCCCCAGATCACTTGTGCAAGAGCCCTTTAGGGCCTTCACGATCTTGCTACTCGATAGCCCAGTATGAAGGGTGGCAGGAGCTCCAGAGGCTGGCACTGACCTTGTTCCCATTGTTGTACATAGCGACCAAGCAGTAGATGTGGTAGATGTGGCCGCACCTGGACAGCTTCCCTACTAGGTCAGGCTTGACCGTAGGCTGCGGGCCCTTGTAGCCTGAGGGGGCCGTGAGGCGTTCCATACAGATGGTGCAGTCCTGGGGAGGGGGAGACACAGCAGAGAGGCTGTCAGCTCTCACCCAGCCTGGGACATTCCCACACAATCTCAAAAGTCGGATGAGCTGTTGCCACTTCTCATCTAAAAAGCCCACAAATCAGGGTATATGTGCTTTCTGGAATCTAAATATCATTTTGTCTTACTTTATACAACATCCTGAAATAATTCCTGGTGCTGATGAACTTGGACTCATCATCTAAATTATCACAATCTTGAGGGCTGTGACAATGCACTGTCCTGTTTTGTCCTCCAACGGCTGGTGGAGGAAACAAATGCTGTCGACAGACCCACTGACAAGCTTTACTTAAGGTGAACTTGTAAAGGAATGTCAAGGAATTGTATTTTAACTGTACCAGAGAGATCGCTGTTTAAATAAATGTCCCACGGGGTTTCTAAACCTCAGAACTATTTACATTTTGGGAAGGATGATTCTTTGCTGTGAGGACTGTCCTGGGCATTGTAGGGTGGTTAGTGCCATCCCTGGCCTCTGCTCTACTCACAAGACGCCGGTGACATCTCCTCTCCCGTGAATCATGACAACCAAAAATGTCTCTGAACATGGCCAAATGTTCCCTCAGGGACCAAACTGCCTCTGGTTGAGAACCACTGTTCTGTTATAAATCCATTTTAAGGTGACTTCTTACGGCTTTTCACTGTTTTCCCTTTTTCTTTCTTTCTTTCTTTTTTTTTTTTTGGATAAGGAGTCTCGCTCTGTTGCCCAGGCTGGAGAGCAATGGAACAGTCTCAGCTCACTGCAACCTTTGCCTTCTAGGGTCAAGCGATTCTCCTGCCTCAGCCTGCCAAGTAACTGGGATTATAGGCACCCGCCACCACACCCGGCTAATGTTTGTATTTTTATTAGAGACAGAGTTTTACCATGCTGTCCACACTGGTCTCGAACTCCTGATCTCTGGTGATCTGTCTGTCTCAGCCTCACAAAGTGCTGGGATTACAGGTGTGAGCCCCTGCACCTGGCCCATAATGTTTTTCTTAAACAGAGACTGCCATGTTAAGATAGCCTAAAATCAATCAGCACTATGCTGAAGGGGGAGGCGGGAGAGGTGCAGCTGCAGCTCTAGACCATGGACCTTGCAGCCTCAGTGTCAGCTCTGACCAGTCCTGTATCCATCAGAGCTTGGAAAGCAACCCCTGCCATATCCCGTAGAAACTGACAATAGCAGAGGGAATGCTTGTGGGTGATGGAGAAGGTGAATCCCGCTCTCCTAACCTGAACTCACCTCATCTGGTGGGTGCCGGACTTTCTGCAGATATTTTTTTAGCACTTCCTCTGGGGTTTTACCTGTAGAGACAGGAGGTTCAGTGGGCCACCAAGGCAGAGGTGAGAGATCATACAGCTTGCCACGTCAGGTATGGCAGACGGGGAACTTATAAGGCAAGTCAAAAGCAAAAAAGGGAGGAATTCCTTCTGCAATTGAAGTTAAGAATGTGGAAGAGAGTATGGATTGTAGAAAGCAATGAGATGGTTTGACGAGAAGGTTTTACTCCTTGCAGTACCTTTTCTGAAATCTCTCTGCCTATTTTCAGCAGACCCACATTTTAAATGAGATGAGTTGGGTGGGTTTTTCTTCCTTGCAATCAAATGATTCGATAACAGAAATGAAAGCATTTTGTAAACCTGTTACAGGTTAAATAAACATCGCCTTCATTTTACAGCTTGCTAAGTATAGTCTCAATTTATAATGTGGTGTCAAAGTGAGATTATTTTTATGGGAAACAAGGAAGTTATGATCCACGGCTCCAAAACAGTCTTTCCTGGCTGTGGACGGCACTGTCACTGCCAGCAGGCATAGCCCGGCTGCAGGGGGAGGGTGATCCTCTGGGAAGCACCCTGATGGGCTGCAATGATTTAGGGATTTTTGGGGGGACTGGACTTGTAAAAGACAGCCCAACCTGAAGGTAGAGGGTGGGACGATACTGCCTGAAAAATGTTCAGTGCCACCTTGGGCCACTCCCTTTAATTTCTCTAAGCTTCTGTTTCCTCACCTATGAAACGAGGATGAGCAATAGCACCTACCTCAAAGGGTTGCTTTGACAATTGAATGAGCAAATGGATGTACTGCCCTTTAGCTCTCTGCCAGATAAGGGCCTGATATGCACTATTAATAATAACAGGAAGAGTGGGAAAGTGTAAAATACTGTTATTTCTGATAAGACCATGAGCAAGGCAATTGAGTTCATTTACGCAGAGAAATCTTGATAGACTGGAAAGTAGGACAAGGGTTTGAGGAAGTGGATCATGCAACAGCCCGAAGCTTCGATGCAGGCCCTTTCCTCCTGTTGCCCTGCTTCTCTTGTAAGAATTAAGCTTCTACTAATTAAGAGCCTATTTCTTGCCAGGCCCTGGGCTAAGGGCAACACACACATGATCCAATTTAAACTTCACAAGCTTGCAAGGTTGCGGCTTAGAGAGATGGGTCAACTTTAACAACTAATGCAAGGGACCAGAAAGACCCACAGAGCTAAGCTGGGGTCCTGCAGTGCTAGAAAGATACAGATATTGACCCCTTACTTGTTGGATTGTGTGCAGGTAGGAGGGGGTTCCTAAAGGAGGATTCGAGTGACCAGAGCATCTGTAGGTTCTAGGGGGATACAGGTTAGTGACTGATTCCTGTCGTTGATGCATTCCAGGATATCCCTCCTGGATACCAGTTGTGACCATTTTTACTTCATTATAAAGATCAGAAAATAGGGGCTCCGTGTGGCCACACAACTTGCAAGAAACGAAGGTATGATTTGAATCCAGTATGTTTTGGTTCCAATGTCAAAGTCATCTTTCTCTTCTAACACATTTTCTTTGTACCACATCTTATATTTTTAGTCTTCTATACTTTTGCACTGAATATTTTTATTTCTCAAGGTGTTTCCATCTGATCCGTATGCCATCAGCTTTTGTACAATCGTCAACATTTACTGGTTAGGCCCACTTAGAAGATGCAGAAATTGAGGCACAGAGGGTTAAGCTGTGGCTATGACCCTTGGAGGTGGAGGCAGAGTCAGGGCTGAGAGCCAAGTCTGCGACTCTCAGTATCCCATAAGACAAGAGGCTAGTACCTTTCTTGGCTTGTTTTTTGGTGGTCTTGCGGCTTGTGTTGGAAACTCCTGGGATGGATTTTATTTCACTCTTGCTGACGGGGGGTGGGTGTAGGACCAGCTTTGGTGGCCTGGTGAGACACACAGGCAGCCCCGCTGCACTCATGAGGATCCCAGTGATTCCTGGAAGGGGCAGGGCATGGGTGAGGAAGGACTGGAGACTTAGCTCTCAACACTCCCCAAATTCCTCTTTCCCCATTAACCTACTCTCTTCCTTTCCAGTAGAAAGTTCTCAGAATTCCTGGATTCTCTACCCTGTACTTTCCCCAGAAAGTTATTCATTCACTTATCTTCAATTGCATGCTTTGCTTTTAGTGATCAGTGCTCTTCCAAACTCTTCATAGCCTTCCCATGCAATTCCTAAAATCACCATGTGCTTTCATTAATATCTGATTCTCTCCTTTTATTCCCCACAAATGCTCACGACCTGGTTTCTCTACCTTAACCCAGAGCATCCTACCTTAACCCAGGTAAGAGTTTCTCTTACCTGCCAAGGCAGGGTTGACAGGACTGGAGCCATTTAGGTTCTTCACTGGGACTGTGGGGACCCTGTGGAAGGAAAGAGCAGATACAATGTCATTTGGACTAGTATTTAATTCTAACAAAATGCAGTAAGTGCTTAACACAGCAGCAGGCAGGAGGTGGCATCTTCAAAACCTAAGTCAGACCATGTCACTCTGCCACCCAGAACCTCAGAATTATGATCCCTCAGTTCACTCAGAGTCAAAGTTAAAGTCCTGGCAAGGCCTACACAGCCTGGATCTGCCTACACTGCCACCAAGGTTCCCTTGTGCCCCTTGCCTCTTCTCATGTTATTTAGCTCTCTGTTCAGCTCTTGCTGCTCCTCCTACATGCCAGGTGTACTCCTGCCTCAGAGCCTTTGCATATGCTGTTCCCTGTACCTGAATTGCTCTTCTATCAGACGACTGCTTAGCTTCCTCCTACAACTCCTTCAGTCCTGGCTTCACTCAGACCTACCAGGTGAGGTTCCTGAGACCATCAGATTTAGTATTGCTATCCACCCCTCCATCCCACACCAGGACTCCTGCTCTACTTAGGATCCTTTAAAAGAAATGGTTGCTTCTTTTGTCCCCTTCTAAAATCTAGGCTCTACAAAAGCAAATATCTTTCTCGTTTTGTTCAGAGCCAGGCACTAGTAGGCATTCAACTGATATTTATTGAAGAAATGAAAAAATAAAAAAGCAAGTTCAAACCAGGGTGTACAAGAGTCACCTAAGATGCTTTTAGAAGGACGGAGTCCCAGATCTAGGCCAGAATCTCCACCTGCGGAGCACAAGAAGCTGCATTTCCCAAAGCTCCTGAGAGGATGCAGATGTAGCAATCCCCAAACATTTGGAACCACTGCTGGAACAGCTGTCACTTCCCCTTTTCCCTGAGACATATATAAATATTAGGCAAAGCCTCCTCCGCTTTCTGTCCTTCTCTCCAGAAACTCCAGCCAGGCTGGAGAGGAGATGGCACAGCTGCTTGGGAAAGGCACGGCCCTCCCACAGCGCTGACTTGGAAAATATGGGACACATGGGGCTGGGTCTTGCACCATCCCCTCTGCCACCCACGCTCCTGCAGCTGGGCTTGGAGAGGCTAACCCGGTCACAGATGACTCCAGGACGTAGACAGCCTGCGAAGCCAGCAGCTGTGCTATGGGGGTAGGTTGGTGCTGGGAAAGCAAGAGGAAGAAAGAAATAATATTTATTTATTGATTTATCCATCCAGAAAGTGTTTATTGAGCCCTATTTTGTGTTGTTCGCTATTCCTGATGTTGGGGGTCAGCAGCGAACACACAGCTCATGGCCCTTCTTCACCCACGTTATAATTGCCTACACACACAGAGCTCAGTTCTTCCCAAGAGTGGCTCCAACTGGTCTCAGTATATAAACCTGTCTAATACCTCCAACATCCTGTGCAAGAGGTATACTTATTAACCCCATGTTAAAGACAACTACATTGAGGCACAGAGAGGTTAAGGAAACCTGGTAAGATCACACAGCTAAGCCAGAAAATCTGGCACCAGAGCCCATTTACTATGGCGCGCTCATGTGTTTATGTAATCCTTGTACATCCCACACTGCAGACACAGACCAGAAACTCGGACAGCGTCATGATGAAACCCACCACTAGGAATGGGGAAGCTGCAACAGGACCTCCACGCCAGCAGTGGGTCCATCTCTGCCCCTCATGCCTATAAGGAAGGTGCTTCCCCAGCTCCAAGCTACTTTGAGCCTGCCTGGGCCTCTGTGCCTCCCCAGTGATGACGACATGTACACCAATGCTGGGAAATGGATATGGAAGAACAGATGTGGGAATGGGAATGTCTGTGTCTCCCTGGGACACCCGAAGCCACTTTTCTTTGAAATTGTCCCCGGGATAAATCAAACCAGGATGGGAGGATGGAGGCGAAAGCTGAATATAAAACAACGGCCACTGGGCCAAGAAAAGAAGAATGGACTTGATTCTGGACTCTAGAATTAGAGTCCAGAGAAGAATTAGACAGGTTTATATGCTGTGAGCAGTTGAAGCCATTCCTGGGAGAAGGTGAACTCTGTACATGCTGGCAATTATAATGTGTGCATGAAGAAAGGCCATGAGCTGTGTGGTCACTGCTGACCCCCGGCATCGGGAATAGCAGACAACACAAAGGTGAACACCCAAGTCCTGAGTCCCCCACTTACCGCGGATTCTCCTCACCCAGCTCTTTCTGGAAAGGCTTGGGGAGACTTGGCTTCCTGGGTCCTGCTCCCAGCTCCCCAGCAGGGGGCGGCACACAGGGCCAGCCCTGCACCTGCCTTCTCCATCACCATCTACAGAGGCCCCACTCCAGCTGATAAGTAGCTGTGATCTGGGTGACAAAAGCTACCTTTGTTCCCATAAACTGGACTGGCAGGTTTCACACCCAATCTGGTCAACCAGGAAATAATCCAATCCCCAGAACACCACACATCTCAGGCAGCTCAAGAACTCCCGGGCAAGGTCTGGAGAGAGGGAGGGAAGGGCCTGCATGTGGACCTGGGACACAAAAGAAGACTGCTGGGCCAACAGGTGGGAGAGATGCCATGTCCCTGCCACTTGAGGAGAGGAATGACATGGCGGGTGGGCTTGTCACTGGGATCTGGGAAGGAGGGGCCTGGGGAGAAGGGGGTTACTTGCTTGTGAAATCCAGAATGGTGTAATGAAAGGGGCTCTGCACTGGTGTCAGGGAGTCTCTGTTTTAGTCCCGCTCAGCGCGGACCTGCTTTGCCTTTGGGAGAGCCACAAAGCCTTTCTGTGTTTTGTTGACTATGTCTGAGTTACCACAGCTGTGAACAGGGCATCCTAAATGTGTGCCCTATGGGGTCCCTATGAGGATTTAGGAACTAGATCAAATAACTGTGCAAACAGCTGAGCCCTGTGCAAGTTGGGGTGACTGTTTCTGCTTTTATCTCCCAAGTATAAAAGGGGCATTGGGCTGAATAAAGACTTTTTCTGCTCTAATATTGCAATTTTCTGATTCTTGAGCTCATAGGTATCCAGGTATAAAGTTGAGTGCTGGGCAGTATGTGAGACTGTTGAGTTGGCCACACCTGACCACACCTCCCCCACTATTACTGGTTAAGGTGGAAACCTTGGAGAACAGCCCATGAAGTTCCAGCTGGTCACGCCCTGCTGGGGCCCCAGCTACATAAGCCTGAGCTCTCCTAGAAAACAGCAACCCAAGGGCAGGCATGCATTTCACATCCTTCCGGCAATTCCATCAGCCAAAACTGTCTGTCCTAACCACATCTTGGCCAATCAGAAGACACCCCGTGCCCCCATTCAGTTGGGCTGTTCCTCATCATGGAGGGTCCAAGTTTTTGTTTCTATTGCTAAAACATAAAACTAAGACAAAAGAAGAGAGCTGGCAAGGCGGCAGAGGAAGGGGGTTTGGGGGAGGGAGGATATCTCTGTAGGCACCATGACGAGAAGTGTTTTTCTCGGAGTTATGCACCAGCCAGGGAATCCTCCAGAAGGACAAGGGTCTCGTCTCTACGGCAACTGAGGCCTAGCTGGAGACAGAGAATCCTCAACTCTAGAGGAGGGGGCTACCGGGTGACGCTCGCCTCCACTGCGCAGACCCCTTCTTGCTTCCCTTTAGAAACCCCCTGCTTCTGTCTCTGAATAATTCACAGGATCTTTTGTTCCTGCCCCCAAACCTTTCTCTTCATCCCACTCCTCCCGCCTCCCTGGTCTTCCTTTTTCCGTGGGAAAGTTGCTGGAAGAGGTCATGGGCAGACAGAGGAGGGGGAAGGGGCCCTGAGCGACAGAAGGTCGATGGCAATGCCAGACAAAGGGAATAAACACGCTAATTAAATGGCCAAGAAAGGCTGGAGGAGAAGATGGGAATTGGGGTGAGGGAGGTGGGAAGAGGTGAAAAGCAAAGGACTGGAAGATCGAGAGGGGTAGGCAGGGCCTCCCTCGTCAGGAAAACAGAGTCGAGAAAAAAAAAAACGACTTGTTTCTATAGCCCTTTTGAAACTGGACTGCCTGGACCTCCACACATTCTCTAGCCCCAGTTCTATGAGAAGGCAGAGGAAATAAAGAAGAGAGATAAAGCTGCTGACTCTACTCCCTCATCGAGATTCAAAGCCACCTGGGTGCCTCTCCCTCAGTGATGGCATGAAGTCACCTGGCATTTGTCAAGGGCACCAGAGACAAGGTGGGATGTCAGACCCTGCTCAGCTTTGACTTCAACTCCATGGACACCTGTTGACAATGATAACAGCAATCACAATGACAGCAGCCAATACTGACTGAACTCATTATGTGTCAAGCTAAGTCTATACACTTAATATGTCGTTTGATCCTTATGACAACCATAAAAGGAAGTCACTATTACTATCCCATCTTACAGATGAGGAAACTGAAGACGGGATGCAAATCTTTCCCCAAGGGACACAGCAAGGCACTTGGGTTCAAGCCCCAGACAGTCCTAACTTCTGGAGGGTGTGCTCTTATCCCGCAAAGGAGCCTTCCTCCTCCATGCCAGCAATCACCCTGGAACTCTGTTAGGCACCCCCAGGATGGTTCTGTGTGACAGTGGGGAGAAATTAAGCAGTGGCAAGGCTTAGCTATTTGTGGTAGCAAAGGTTGCAGCCACCATATGGATCTGAGTCACTTTGACTTTATGATTGGGAAGATCCAGAACATAAAAAGCAATACAAACAGGACCTACAGCATCACCAGGTTGTCACAGGAATAACTGAAACAATGTATGGAAAGGACCTGGCAAATAATAAGTCATCACTGAAAACAGGGCGGTATTCCAATCTAGAGTCACCTCTCCAGCTTCCAGAGAGACTAGAGGAAAGAAAATAACTCTTGTCTTGCACCTACTGATAGCTAAGCCTTGCCACGGCTAAGTCATTTCATGACTTCCCCCAGAAGTATTACCCGCTCCCAAATACTTCTGCCATCTCAGGGGAAATCTCATGCATCTCACCAGCATTTTGCCTTTTACAAACTGACTTTGCATACAATGAGGAGCTGGGCTTTAGCCAAAAGAACAGTGAATTGGGAGACCAAAACCTGGGTTCCAACCCCTACTGCATAACACAGAAGCTCTGTGTTCCTCCTGGGGAAATGAATTCTGAGCTGAATGTCCGTGCTTAACACTTAGATCACAAGGTAAGGGAATGCAATGCCAAGGGGCCAGCTCCCTGAGTGGAGGTGTTCATGATGACTCCATGGGGTAGGTAAGGCCACTGGATCTTGCAAAGATTCTCTGGCTCACCCCAGTGACAGAGGTAGGAGTGGGGGCTGGGCCTCTGGACTTCCAACCCGGCACTCCTCCCACTCTGTGGTGTACCCTTCTTCAACCCTCCTCCCAATGTCAAATCTCTGTGTACAGGGACCCAGCTGAGTATCAAAACTACCTTCTTAGAGGTGCCCGGACTTTCAGACTTAAGCACCCGATGCAATTGAAAACCATCCTGATCATCTGGGCTCAGGGGCCACAGGCAGAGCCAGGCCTCTCTGGAGACAGAAAGGGAAGATTGGGTGGCTGTGAGATGCTAAGAAAGCAGGGGCTGGCATGCAAAGGTTGCAGCCACCACATGGATCTGGGTCACTTCGATTTTATGATCAGGAAGATCAAGAATATAAAAAGCAATACAAATAGGACCTACAGCATCACCAGGTTGTCACAGGAATAACTGAGACAATGTATGGAAAGGACCCGGCAAATAATAAGTCACCACTGAAACAGGCCAGTATTCCAATCTGGAGTCACCTCTCCAGCTTCCAGAGAGACTAGAGGAAAGAAACTAACTCTCGTTTTGCAACTACTGAATGTTGGGCATTGTGGTAGGTACTTGGTGGAAGAGGAGCACAGCAGAGTCAGAATCTGGGGTCTAGCGTCAGATATCCTGAAGTTTGAATCCCACTTTCTGCCAATGATTAGCTAAATATCTTTAAGCAAGTGAACATCTACTTTCTTTATCTGTAAATAGGGTAATGCCTACTTGCTTACTTCATAGAGTTTTTGTAAAAATTAAATGAGATGATAAAGCCCCAAACTACAATATAGTGGGAGTTCAATCAATGTTGCCTATTACTACTTAGTAGGCAGAATCTTTTTTTTGGGGGGACAGGGTCTCATTCTGTCACCCAAGCTGAAGTGTAGTGGTACGATCATAGCTCACTGCAGCCTTGACCTCCTGGGCTCATGCAGTCCTCCAGCCTCAGCCTCCCAAAGTGCTAGTATTACAGATATGAGCCACCACGCCTGACCACAATCTTCTTTAAGCCTTATAGCCCCCCGAACAGGTGCAATACTGCCAGAATTTACACATGACCAAGTTAGGACTCTGTGATGTTAGGAATCTGGTCCTAAATCATATGGCTAGTAAGAGGCAAAGTCTCAACCAGAGTCCAGATCAGAGCCCAAGGATCTAACCCTCCCTGGTCTACCACCCCATGCTGCCTTCACCTGCAGCCAGGGGTCAACGCAAGATGCGGAGAAGCTTAAGTCTTGGCAGCCCCTCCTTCTTCTGATCCAGAAGATCTGCTGTAGCCTATCTCTGCAGTGAGTAAATGCCTGAGGCAGCTGTGGAAGCACCTACCCAGAGGCGATCAGCACCCGGGACTGGGCAATGGCCAGTCGCTGCAGGTTGGTACGATTCAAGGTGGCCAGGGCCACCCTTCCAGTCTTGCCGTTGGGTCCTGGGGGGCTGGCAGGAGAGCCTGCGGTTGTCCCACTAGGCATGCTGGAGGCCTGTCTCCGGATCATCTGGGATGGGGCGGTCTTTATCGGGCCTTGAATGGTGTCTGTGCTGTACAGTGGCTTGGCCCCAGGGCCTGGTGGTGGGGGCAGCTTGACCACTCCAGGAGGAGCCATGTTCTTGCGAGTAACTGGGGGCTGCAGGGGTCCAGTGCTGCCATTGACCATGGCTGCTTTAACACTCATCACCAAGACACACTGGGGACAGGAGCAGGGTGGGGTGGGGGGTGAGGTGGCTGGCCCAGGGCTGACTGGCCAGGACTGAGCCTTAGGCAAGGTCCCCGTAACCATGGGGTAGATGAGGTCAAGGCGCCGGCGGACTCGGCGTTGGCGCTGGGTCTGACGGTTGATCTGGCCCATGGTGTTGAAGTCAATGACGTAGCTAAAGCCGATGGAAGTGAGGTCGATCCAGGGGTGCTGCTTCTCATAGGCATGCTGGATGGTGATGCCCACTTCCATGTCGTAGGGCGTCCAGGAGCCATTGTCGTTCTCCCACTCCCAGACCACGCCCTTCCCAGGGGCCGAGGAGGGGTCGTAGTAGTTGCGGCGAACTGGGCGGAGAGTTCCTGCCAGGGTGGGATAGAGGAGAGGTCAGGGTCAGCATGCAATTATACTGAATGGCATGACATTAGCAAGTCACATGTGTACTGGGCATGACGCTACCTGAAGTGCTAGCTTTGAATGAAACTCATTTCTCCCTTTAAGATGTCTACAGTCCAACCACAGTAGAAGCAGATGAGTTACAACATGAAGGATATGGGTGGCAGTGCAGGCTAGCAGAACGACTCCCTCCTGGTTTGTAGTCGGAACACCTCGGTTTGCAGCCAAACTCATTCCATTTACTAGCTGACATAGAACCTCTAAGCCTCCTCTTCCCTCCTGGGAAATAGGATAACTCCTTCCTAGAGTTTTTGTACAAATTAAATATAGCTCACTTGTTAATTCAACAAATATGTATTTGTACATGCCAGGTTCTGGATTTCACGTGAACTCTATAAATGCGCTAAGGCATGTAAAGCCCTTGTCACACAGTGGTGCTCATAATGATCATATTCCCTCTTGTCCCTCTAAATGCTCTTGCACCAAGAGTCATGAGGAAAAGAATACAAGGCTGTGGAAGCCTAGAGGACTAAGGGAAGATTCTTTCTCCATGTGGGAAGGCTGCCCAGAGGCGGGTGTGAGGAAGCTGGGTCTCTATACATTTATAAATGCTGTCAAAAAAAATGCTGTGTTACTATGAGAAGAAGGGAAATCAGGTTAGAACTCTCTCATGTTTCCCAGGATTAAATCTTATAACAGCAGCAAACGTAACATTCTTAATGGTCATGAGAATCACTTTATATTTATCTGATGCCTTTCTTTCAAGAAGCTCAAACCCTCCTAAGGATAGGATTGCCTTAGTTTTGACAGTCTCACTTTGGGGCCGGGAAGAGGTCATGGTTATTACAGAGTAATGGTACGACAGATATGAACTGGCAGGACTGCAAGGGAACTGAGGTTCTAACTGTTGCCTCTTTCTCCCTTTCTCAAAACCCGAATCCTGACCCATCCTCAACCAGGGCTCATTTCATGGTATCAACATCAAGGCTACAGATGCCTGGCTCAGGGCAGGGTGGGGAGGCTGGGGAGGGCCCCTGGAATGCTGGAATCTCTGCATCTGTCAGCTTAAGCTCTATCCATCAAAGTGGTGAGAAAAGACTCCCTTCACCGGCCTCTGACCCACCCCTCCTCCAACCCAGAGGGAGACACCAAGACTGGGGACAGAATCCCATTCAAGGGGGGAAGAAAAGAAACAATGGCTATTCAGGCCTTTGCCAGGGTCATAACCCGCCCCCCATCCCATCTCCAAGCCCCTTAATGACCCAAAACATCAACATTCAGAGGCATAACGGAGAAGCAGAACAATCCCCTATTCATCACCAGGGCCTCTGCTGGGGGACCTGGGGTATCAGGATGCGGGGGCAGGAGAAGGGGAGGTGATAGTTCCCTGGCTTGCCTCCATTTCCTTCCTAAGTGCCCAGCTTGCTGGGGAACAAAGAATATGGGCTTTGGGGCCAACAGGGGTGGTTCTGTGCTTTTCAGCTGTGTGAGAAAGCCTCAGTTTCCTCATCTGTTTGGGTCCTGGGTAGAGACTTCAAAGGGTGGATTTGAGGATTAAATGAACATAAAACTCAAAAATAGCACCTGTCACCATGGCAAGAGCTCAATGAAAATTGGTGATTATTATTGTAATTTATTTTCTATTATATGTCTAAGCAGGATCGAGAAGCCATGGAAAGGTTTAGTTCAGGGGATGCGTGTGTGTGTTGGGGTGTGTGTATGTAGGATGCTAGGGGGTGTAAGAAAGAGAGAGAGAGAGAAAGTTTCTGTATAACTGACAAGATTTTCTTCTCAGTCACTTTGCAAGCCAGGGACCTCTGGCCAGCAACACCCTGCCTGGGCCTCACTCGACCAAACTACCTGCTGCAGGAGACGGCCTGCCCACTCAGCCCACCTGGGCCAAGTTTGGCTGTACACCAGTTCCTAAGTTCTTGTCCCATACCCAAGAAGAATGAGGATATGTTGACAATCAAAGAACAAACAAGGTGGGGAGTTTTACTGAGTGATGGAACAGCTTTCAGCAGAGAGGGGACCCAGAGGTGGTCCCCCTGTACAAAGTTGGGAAAGCCTCTGCAATGTGGCTGAGTCCGGGGCCTTCATAGGCTCAGAATAGGGGAGGGGCAGGCTGTAGGTGGTACTAGAAAAGGCAACATTTGACTGGTTAAAAGGCATTATTCAGAAACAATCAATTGGGAAAGGGTGGAGAAACAGGAACAGAAGTTCTCACTCTGGGTTGTGGGTTTCATCCCAGTCCAGCAGTCCAGTCTTTAAGCCTTCAGGCTGGTATGGGCTTGAAGGTGGGGTTTCACTGGGGACCTGCCCCTATCTTTCCAAGCATTTGGCTGCCTTCTCCTGCTCTCATAACTGGTATTTGTACAATATTTATTACTTACAAAGCACCTCACATGTCCCATGTAATTTCATAGCAATCCTAGAAATACCTTTCACAAATGAGGAAATTAAGTATAGAGAGTTTAAATGGCACTATTTTATATTCTCTCCAGGGTGTCAGGGACAGTGCACTTAACTCCCTCACAGATGTGCCTAAAATATATATGCCTATATATTATATAAGTATATATATTATATATGTATAAGTATATACACGTATATACTTATACATATATAATATATATATATTTTATATTTTAGGTGCATCTGAGAGGGAGATATATATATATATATATATATATATATATATATATATATTACACAATAGTGTTATCAGTCCTGGAGATGCCTGAGAGTGGCCCCAGAACTACTTCTGGAAACTATGCTATGGGTCTATAATATACCTTTCCAGGTGTATCTTCCTCAATCTCTGTGTTTTCTTCTATTCCTGCCAAATGGAGGTCCCCTTTATCCTCACACATTCCCTCAGAGTTCCCTGGCTCCCTCCCCCACAATTTGCTATGTTCCCTCTACTGAAATGGCCTTTGCCATTTTTACCTGTTGAAATTCTCCTTACCATTCAGGTCTTACTCCATTTTCCATTCATTTCTTAAAATGTTCTCGCAGCCAAGGCCCCACCCTCGGGAAGCCTGAGGTGTGTAGCTTGACTATGCTGATGTGCACCGATGTTTCAGCAACACTTTTTATACCATCCTGCCTTAAGTGGGGGCAGACATGCTGCTGTGGAGCTCTTTGCATTCTTAGTGCCCAATGCCTGGAAGTTGCGAGGGCTCCAGAAACTGTGCTGTGACTGAAGACTTCTGGCCACTTTAATGTTTAATCATTTATCATGTATCACTGAGAACCCATTAACTGCTATGTGGAATGCAGATTCAAGCATTCCTCAAGTAGCTTTTAGTCTAAAACAGGGTTAGAAGACAAATGTGCAAATGACTCTTTATGAGGCAGAACACATTACAAAGAGGACGCCAACAAAATGCATGTTGGCAGGAAAATTGACCACGTCCCCTCCCTGCGTAAATCCCTTGCATGACTTCTCCTTAGGTTGAAATCTAAATGCCCCCGATCCACCAATATACGTGGTCCCCCTCAGAGCCCAACTCTGCCCACATTTCAGCTACGCTGGCATTCAATCTCTGCCCATTGCCAGGCTTCTCTGATTCTGGACCTCTTCACAATGCCGCTTCCTCCCTAAAACTCTCTGACATCTTTTTTCACAGATCTTCCTAGAGGAGGGCTCATTTCTTCAAGGAAGAAGGAAGCCCGCCTAGGCAGTCCTGGCCAGGTTAAATTCTTGTTCCTTAAAAAAAATTTTAATAGCACTCATCTCAATGTGCAGTTACATATGTATTTGTGTGGCTAATTTGATGAATATCTGTCCCTTTCAGTAGACTCCTGATCCCATGAGAGTGGGCATCAGGGTGTGTGCTCACTGCTGCACTCCCCATGCCAGCATGTGCTAGGCACTCAAAAATATTGATTGAATAAATGAAGTAATGATGGTTTGTTTGCAAAGCATTTCAAGGTGTGGAGAACATTTTAAGAAATGAATAACAAATGGCATGGACTCGAATAATAAAAAGAATTTTGACAGGTAGAAATGGCAAAGGACAGCGTTTTATAGGAAAGGACCTTAAGACTAGTTGGGGGGTGAAGGGTGTCAGAGAACTCTAAAGGAATGCATGAGGACAGAAGTGGCCTCTGTTTGGCAGATTGGAGGGAAATATAAGGCATAGGAGAAGACAATCCTGGAAAGGTATGTTATAGCCAGGGAGGGCCTGGAAGGTCTGAAATGCCAAGCCATGATAGATTTAATTTGTAATCAATGAAGAACTAGTAAAGTTTGTTAAGAAAAGAGGGACAAGACCAGAGCTACTCTGTCCCTTAGTTCCAGGTGAGTGGAAAGGTGTTGGCAGGGAAAATGAAAAGAAGGTGACAAACTGGAGAGACCCTACAGAGAAAACCATGGCTAAGACTTGACCATGAGGAGCTGAATGATTTCCAAGTGAGGTTTGAGGATTGCCTCCTTCAGAATCTCCTGGGGTATGAATTGAGTCATCAATGCCCTTGAGACCTACGGGCCAGCATTTCCAGGGCCTGGGCACGGGAATCTGCATGTGAATGACCACTTTGAGTGGTGCACAGGAAGACTCAAGTTTCAGCTGTTGGGCTGCAGGATCTATATGCCTGTACATATTAGGTACCCAAGTAAGACTCAAAATGACAGAATGAGTCAAAGAATCCTGGGCTTAGACCCTGGGAACATGGTAAAATGGGTCAGAGGGATGTCAAGAGGCAGAGCTAGTTTTAGAGGGGATGTGGTTGAGTGCAACCCTAGAGGACAGTCAGAGAGAATACACAGATCTCAGAACCAAAGTGCTGAGACAACAGACACGGTGGGATTTTATTCTCTGATTATTTTCAAAGACCACCCTATTTTGGATGTGCTACTTCTCAGCTTGTCTAGAATCAGGATTATAAACCAGATAATCTGTGAAGTAACCCAAGGAAATGAACTCCAGTAGGATAGGGACTGAGGATATTCATAATCTAAGTATGAAGAAGGAGAAAGAAAATCAGTTTTTTGCAGATTTTCCACCTGCCTTACAAAGCGCCTAAAATCTTTCAGCTTCTGGGAAGTGGAAGGCAATGCCTTCCAGGCATGCACCGAGGTCTCTAGGGCATGTTACTCACATCTATGTAAGTGACTCACTGCTGTTAGAGCATGCACTGTGTCCAAGAAATCCCAGGCCACTCTCACCAGCATCCCCCACGCCCACCAGAATATTTCACGAGGACAAAGAAACATTTGGAGGCTCTATTATTGCTATATCCCACATGTCTGGAACAGTGCCTGCGCTAAATGGTTGCTCCATCAGTATTCACTGAACGAAGAAATAGGACATAGGCCACTTAATTCGGAATCTCAGCCCTGCCATTGACAGCTGTAAACCCTTGGCAACTTAATCTCTTTCAACTTGTTTCCTTACAAAATGGGGATAATAATAGGTTCTTCACAAGATTGTTTAAGGAGGATTAAACAAGATAGTGTGTGCAATGTGCTTGGTGTGACGCAGACGCATGGTGCATCCTGTGCATGGTAAGTATCATGTGGTCACCATGATGCCTGCCTCCTCCACTCCTATGCCAACATAGGGTAGAGGGTGTTGCAGGGGGCTAACACTCAGCTGCTGTCAAATCACTTATTTGTATTTATTTATTTATTTTTTGAGACAGAGTGTCGCTCTATAGCCCAGGCTGGAGTGCAGTGGCATGATCTCGGCTCACTGCAACCTCTGCCTCTTGGTTCAAGCGATTCTCCTGTCTCAGCCTCCCAAGTAGCTGGGTATACAGGCGCACACCACTACACCCGGCTAATTTTTGTATTTTTAGTAGAGATGGGGTTTCATTATGTTGGTCAGTTGACCTCAATCTCTGACCTTGTGATCCACCTGCCTCAGCCTCCCAAAGTGCTGGGATTACAGGCGTGAGCCACTGCGCCCGGCCTGTCAAATCATTTAATTCAACTCACTCTCTTTCCCTCCATCTGACACTTCTCACCACTTTTAAGACATAAAGAAGGCAAAACTTGCACAGAAAAATCTGAGCTGGAAAGAACTCTCCCTCACCCTGTGCTTATCAGTATCATCACTGGCATGGGGGCCAGCCCATTCACCTGTTGATCCGCTTGACAGGAGGCAAGAAAAAGAGGGAAAGGAGAAATCTTAAGGCTGCTCTTCATTCTACAGAAAAAAAAAAAATGAGGCCTGACCATTTAGGGACTTGCTCAAGGTCATGGAGTAAGCAGTGAGCCTGGAATGAGAGTCACAGCTGTTTCTCCCCACTCTCAGCCTGGATCTTCCCCATCCTGCTACGGAAGCCCTGGAGATGGTAGGGTCAGGCATGCTGAAAGGTACAGGGGAAAGTGATGCTGCAGTAAAGCTCTTCAGTTACTGCCCTATAACAGAAAAAGGGCAACCCAGTCAGGGTAAATGACAGCAGGTGGAGAGGACCTCACCAAGGCTTTTGGAAGTGGCCAAGAGCCAGTCCCATCTATCTCACCCCATCTCTTACCTTCTTCCAATTTCTCTAGCCCAAAGTGCCTAGAAGAGACTGGCATAGAATGCAAATAAGCTCAGAACCCTAGGCAGTCTGGGGAAGGAGAAGGACCCAGGGCAAACAGAGGCGGGCAGATGGGTGTCTGCAACCTCCCAGCCATCTCCCTGGAGACAGGCTGGATGAGGTCAGGAGCCCAGGCCAGTGGAGAGACTGAGGACTCTCAAAGCAGCCAGCAAGCAACTTCTAAAAAGACAAAGCTCTCACATCAGGAAATGTCCCCATAGAGAGAAGGCAACAAAAAAGGAGAGGAATCGCCTCTGGGCAGGGGACTTCCAGCTCTCTTTTGTTTATGGGGATGTTTCTGGTTCCCAGCTTTGAATTATGGCTTAAGGATGGTGGGTAATTTAATTAAACATTGCAAGGGCTTGGCTGAGGTTGCCTGGGAGCCACTGGTTGAAAGTTCCTACCCTGTCATGGCCTCATCAATGAGACTGAGAGAAACTATGTGTGCGTTGGTGGAGAAGGGAGAGGAGGGGGCTCAGAGCTCAGAAACCCAGAGATTCTTCTATTCTACTTTGACAAGTGCCTGGACAGACCCAGCTTTTCTGGGAATGCAGCCCAGTGCCTCCAGCACCCAGCACAGGGCCTGGCGCACAGGACAGAGGTACTCAGGATGGATGACCGACTGACTGACTCTAGCAATAAGTGGATGAAACCAAAGCAGTCTGATGTAAAACACACCCTCAGGCAGCCTTTAAAATGATGCAGGGCAAGGTCTCTGACTGCGGTTTGAAGTCCAGGGAGTGTCATCCTCTCACTAAACTGCTCACCATCAGGAGGTATTCAACCTGTCCTCAGGTGAGAGTGATGAGACCTGGGACACGTGGCTTCTTTCCTTCCGCCCAGTTTTCTCTATAACTTCACTTCAGTAGAAAGGATCATGAATCTTTGTAGAAACCTTGCCCATTCTAAGTACCCCCAAACACAGATTCCACCTTTGCTCTTCCCAAATGTGGGAAAGGGGCTGAGACCTTTCTACCACAAGGGTGGTTCTCCAAATGCTGCAGAGATTTAGTCTGAAATAGAAAAGCTAACACCTGGTTTTTTTTTTTTTTTTTTTGTTTTTTTGTTTTTTTTTTTGTTTTTGAGGACTGGAATCCCCTGGCAGATGCTTTAACTGCTGGTCTGTCTCTCTGGTCCCACCTCCATGGCTCAGCTCCCCACAACACACATCCCTCTGCTAACCTGCTGCCTCCACCCTCACCTCCACAACAACTACTCAAGTTGCACAATGACATTCTCTCCCTCCCCCTCAGCCACACTTAATCCTCTTTCTCACTCTCCCCACATTCCTCTCTATTCTCTCCTCCTCCCAGTCTCCCCCAGCTCCACCTCTCTCCCTTCCCTACACGGTTTAAGACCCTGCAAATTCGAACACTTCCAGAAATCCTGTCCCCAGAAAGCTCTCCTCAATTAGTGTCTGCAGAGTACTTGGCAAAGGGGTTGCTCAAGGGAATTGTGACTAAAGATGGGGACATGAGGGTGGAAAGATACCCCTTTCCCATGACAATTTTAATTAGCACACAGGATGTGGGGGCTTTCCAAGGAAGCGGAGAAACCCTGTTCAAACAGCTGTTTGCTGGGGAGGGCCTCTCCCAGTCGTCTTTTCTACTTCCTCCCCAGCACACCGGCCTCTCCAGGCTCCTCGGTTACACTCTAGGGAAAGCTCAGCCAGAATTCCAGAAACAATGGCCCCCTCCCCACCTGTCACTGAAGGAGACAGAAACTCTTCACATTCACTAGTTAAGCAAGGACCGAGCAAAGAGGGGCAGTTCTGCCGTCCTCCTCCCTAGGGCAGCCTCCCCCACCCCCCCGCCCCCTATGTCCCCATCCTGCAGGCTCCCTTCCCGGCTCTGACCTGGAAAGGCAGGTCAGCTGGGAAGCGGGCTTGTGCTGGCTACAGTGGCAACTTGATTCTCAGGAAAAGACAGGATCTTGGCGCTCCGGGAGGCTAAGGGTTCCTTACAGGCTACGGTTTCAAGAGGAAGCCTTGGGGACAGTTTCTCCTTAGGAATCTGCCCCCTCCTCCTCAGCAGACAAAGGGAGCGGCTTGCCTGCCAGGCATTCCGAAGCCCCAAACCTCCCCCTCCTCTCTCCATCTGCTCCGGCCTGTTGCTTCCGTGTTTGGAGCGTGTAGCAGAGGCATTCGCCAAAGCCACGGCGTCCAGGGTCCCCCAGCTCCAGTCTCTCCTCATAGGGAGCCCGGCGCTTCCCTTACCCAACTGTAGCGACAGCCTCCGGGGAATCCCTTCTTCCTCCCCCAGTTCCCACACCCAGGACCCAGCTGTGGGGAGGAATCCCACACAGGAGACGCAGAGGCAGTGAGATCAGGGGTGAGGGGACCTGTGGCAAGCCCCAGCGTGCCTGAGGCAAAGCAGGGTCAGTTCAGCCACGGTGCCGGCCGTCAAGGGATGAGGGCAGGAAGCCTTTGCGAGGGGCTGCGATTGCCTGTAGGCTGGGGGCGGCCCTAGAATTTCTACACGGAAAGACTTAGGGCCACCAAGCGCCGAAAAGTGGGGGCGTGAAAGAAGATGGGGAGGGGATTCTTAGCGAGTAGGTTGAAGGTGGGTTTGCAACACAGGAACACTGATACTACTTGCATGGATGTTTGGGGGGGAGGGAGGATCCTGCGAGGATCCAGGGGAGTGACAGACGCGCCTCTCACCACCACCTCTCGGTGACACTTCTGCACCGAGGCACCGACTAGGTGGCCAAGGTGGGTTCCCAGGGCGGGAGGTACCTTGGCAGGTTGGGGAGGTGGTGGGAGCGGACGGGGCGGGGACGGGGCGGCCGGCTCACCCGTGTCTTGGCGGAACTGGTTCATGGACTGCAGGTCGATGATGTAGGGCGCGAGACGGCTGTCCACCTGGCCCAGCACCACGCTGCCCCCCGCGCGGGGGCCAGCGCGGACCACCGCCTCGATGTGGTGGCTCACGGCGGGGCTGTAGGGACGCCAGCGGCCGTGCTCGTTCAGCCATTCCCAGACCACCACGGCCGAGGCCAGGAGCATGGCGAGCCCGGGGCTGCGGCGCTGCGCGGCCCGCCTCCCGGGCCCCGAGCGCCCGACCTCCTCCGCTTCCTCCTGCGCCGTCGCCTCCGGGCCTCGACCGCGCCCCCTGCCCCGCGCCCCGCCGCCCCAGGCAGCCTCAGCTCCGGCCCATGGGCTCCTCCCCAGCCGTGCATCCACCGGGGCCGGGACACCGGGGCCGCCTGGCTCGGACCGCGCGCCGCAGCCGCCGCCGCCGCCGCCGCCGCCGCCGCCTGGGTCCGCCGCTGCTGCCGCTGCTCCGTGGGGTCGAGTCGCTTCATGCAAATGCCCCGCTCTCTGCAAACAGGCCCCCGCCTTGCAAAAGCCACCCGGCGGGCGCGCGGCCCGAGCCCCGGCGGCCGCGAGCTGGGGCTGACGGCGAGGCGAGGACCCAGCCCTAGCACCAGTTGCGCCTCGGGCTCTGCAGACGCCGGGGTGGGATCTCACCGCACGGCCGCGCTCCGAATGGCACGCTCTGCTCCCCTCCCCTCTCTCCCTCCCTCCCCACCCCTTCGCCGCACGAATTGCAGTCGCCGCCGCGGGCAGAGCTCCCCCTCCCTGCGGCTCTGCTCAGTCCCTTCCAGAATGAACCTCCCCCTCCCAAGCGGGGCGCTAAGGCAAACCCGCGCCCGCGTGGGTTTCCCTGGTTGCTTGATGCAGAGAAACGACCCGCCATGACACGGCGCTGGGACCGCCACTGTCGCCCAGCTGCAACTTTGCAGCCTCCTTCCCCAAAATGTAATTCTCTCTCTCTCTCTTTTTTTTTTTTTCTTAATGCAGCATGATCAGTGCCCGCAGCGCGAGCTGGAGACACGCATTGTCTCGGGCCTTGCACACGCACTAGCACACTCACAGTCGCACACACACGCGCACACACCCCCACGTCTTTATTGCCCTGGCTCCTATTACCTCATCCTCGCCCGAATCCTCAGCTGTCAGTCAAGGAAACAAGCCACGCCCCCCTGCTGCTCGGGCGGGCGCCCTAGAGCTAACCTGCCCCCTGCTGGCCTAAAGCAACCTGTGCCGGCCAATGGCCACTCCAATATCTGCTAATGAGATCCAGTCCAAAGGGATGCAGCAATTTGGCTAATGATGGATTTATGTTACCTATGTAGAGAGCAGATGTGGTTTTTCTGGCCAGATTCAATGTACTAGAGTCAAGAAGACACATGCTAAATTAATTTAGTCTGGATCGTTTCTATAACTAAAATTATGAAGCACTAGGACAAACAAGATAGACTTATTTTGATCATAAATAGTTAATATGGAAAATAAAATTAAAGGGGTCGGTTCTGACTAAAAGGGTATACTGAAGTCAGTATTATACATTAATCTTGTCAAAGAACACAAATTTTGTTTTGTTGAGATTGCAAACCACATAAAACAATGAACTGAGTCTGTCAAGATCCAAGACATAGGATGTGGGAAAATAAAAATAGATTATGTGTTAGAGAATGAGATTGAGAATCTTTTTGAAATAATCAATTTTTTCATAAATATCATATGACCTTTTTATGTTTTAGAACTTACTTCCCCCTCCCTCTCCTTACAGCTGTTCTTTTTCCCATCATTAGAATTTTCCATCCCTCTACCTTTACCTTTCTCCCAACATAGTTGTAAATACAAAGCAAAATTGTAAGATCTGTTCTTCAGGCCTCTAAAAGCACCAGGCCCAAGGGACCTCTGAGCTTTGTTCTTTCAGGTCTCCTTGCACAGCTTGACCTCTGAAATGCCCAGTCAGCCTCTCCCTTAATTAGGGACTGCTACTAATCAACCCAAACAACACCACTTATTAAAATGTCGAGTTTCAGAATTAGAAGAACAAAAAGAAATCAAGTTAAGGATACCTCAATTAAGTCCATCACAGGCCGTTATTATTACCATTTTACAAATGACAGGACTTACGGAATTTAAACTATTTGCCCTAGATTACATATCTAGAGGGGAAACCAGTATTCAAAATTCAGTTGGGCTGACTCAAAAGAAAATGCCTGTTCCATAACATGTCCTATGTGACATAGAGGTGGCACAATAACAGGCAATGTAAATGTGTCTCAGTGTGAAAAAAGGGAAGGGAGAAAATGAGGGTAGAATATTCTGGAAGAGAAACAAAAGTCAAATTGAAGAAAAGGTAATTTAAAATTTTATTGGGCTATTTTACTTCTAGTCATAGGAGTGGAAAGTATCAAAACTCAGGAAACTTTCTCATAGTCAGGGTAGGCATGGATCAAAAAGTGAAGAGTAATGCTTTAAGGGGATATTGAAAGTACAGGGAAAATATAGCATCTGACCAGCTAAGCCAGAAATTCCCAGGTGAAAAAATCTAAACTAGATAAGAAAGCTATTAGCAAATGTTAGATGAGCTGTTTGAAAGATGAATCAATAAAAGGCAGAAGGAAACTGACTCCTACCTGCCTATGCCCAGCCTAATTTTGTATCTGGTCTTCTTGTATCTTCCATGTTAAACACAACAGAGTATTACAGAAGAATAAAAATATCTTAAGACATGTAAGAAGGTTTGTATGTAGTCTGATTCATTTGCAAGAAGTGAATACACACACATATACACACACAAAAGGGGCCTTTAAAAAGTTTGTGGAAAATGCATGTTATGAAAAAAACTAGGCATGTAGTTCAGATATTGTTTTGAACCCACATAAACTCTTACCAACTTGTTATAGCCTGTCTGGACAGAATCTAGTTTGAGACACTAAGATGGGTAAGACAATGCCCTAATTGAAGAGGATCAAGGATTAGCAGTCAAAACAATAGCCAACACCATAGATATCTCAACTGGTTCAGCTGACACAATTTTAACCAAGAAACTAAAGTTGAACAAACTTTCCACTACTTGATAGGTGCCAAAACTATTGCACCCAGGTTCGCTGCAGACAAGAGCAGATCTTTCAATAGAAATTTTAAACGAGTGGGATCAGGATCGTTAAACATTTCTTTGAAGAATTGTAACAGGAGATGAAACAAGGCCTTACCAGTACAATCCTGAAGACAAGGAACAACAAAAGAAATGGTTATCAAGAGATCAAGTGGTCCAGACAAAGCAAAAGTGCACTGGTCAAAAGCAGAGAACCATGGCAACAGTTTTTTGGAGATGCTCAAGGCATTTTACTTATGGACTTTCTGGAGGGCCAGAGAACAATAACATCTGCTTAATATGAGCATATTTTGAGAAAGTTAGCAATAGCTTCAGGAGAAAATACCTGGGAAAGCTTCACCAGAGAGTCTTTCTCCAGGTAGTGTTCCTGCTCATTCCTCTCATCAAACAAAGGCACTCTTGTGAGCATTTTGATGGAAAATCTTTAGGCGTCTGCTGTACAGTCCTGATTTGGCTCCTCTGACTTCTTTTTGTTTCCTGATCTTAAAAAATTTTTAAAGAGCACCTGTTTTTATTTATTAAAGAAAGACTGCATTGATATGATTAGGGTCCCAGGACACTCAGTTCTTTAGGAATGAACTTAATGACTGTATCATCACCTACAAAAGTATCTTGAACTTGATGGTGTTTATGTTAGGATATGAAGTGTACATTTTAATTTTGCCTTTTAATTTTATTTTTCACAAACTTTTTGAAGTCCCGTCATGGTTTTTTTTAGATGGAATCTTGCTCTGTCGCCTGGCTGGGGTGTAGTGGCACAATCTCGGCTCACTGCAACCTCCACCTCCTGGTTCAAGCGATTCTTCCGCCTCAGCCTCCCAAGTAGCTGGGACCACAGGCGCGTGCCACCATGCCCGGCTAATTTTTGTATTTTTAGTAGAGACAGAGTTCACCATGTTGGCCAGGATGGTCTTGATCTCTTGACCTCATGATCTGCCTGCCTCAGGCTCCCAAAGTGCTGGGATTACAGGCATGAGCCACCACATCTGGCCCCCCTCATGTTTTTGTGTGTGTATGACTTGACATTAGGAATCAATTATAGTTGTAAAATATCTTTATTTTAATAATCCATGATCATTTATAGTTCATCACACCTAGAAAGATAACATCTAGTCTTTCATCATTAACTATGATATTAGCTATAGGAGTTTATTTTAGATGCTCTTTATCAAACTGAGGAAGTTTTATTCTATTCCTATTTTTCTGAGAGTCTTTTTTTTTGTCATGAACAGATATTGAGTTTTATTAAATGCTTTTTTGTTATCAATGATATGATCATAAGTGTTTTCTCTTTAGACTGCTAATATGGTAGATTCCATTGATTGATTTTCAAAATATTGAATGAGATTTGCATTCCTGAAATAAACCCCACTTAGTCATAGTGTATAATTATTTTAAAATATTGCTATATTTTGTTAAAGGTTTTGGGGGCCTGGGCATGGTGATGCCTACCTGTAGTCCTACTTATTTGAGACGCTAAGGGAAAAGGGTAACTTGAGCTCAAGATTTCAAAGTTACAGTGAGCTGTGATGAGCCACCGCACTCCAGCCTGGGTGACAGGGGAAGATCCTGTCTAAAAAAGTTTTTAAAAATTGGGGGTGGTCTATCTTTACAAAGAACCTTGGTGTATAGTTTTATTTTTCTCTTTCTTTTGTTAAATTAATCTTTTGTTAAAATAATCTAGCCTAAAGCTACCTCCTTATATACTTTTAAGTTTGACCTAAATGTTTTTCAGTACATAGTGAACTATATAACCTAACTGAAAGCGGAAACAGATAGCCTGCTTTTGTAACAGGTATCTGAGTCTCAGCCAATCACAGAAGCAAAACTTCAACCACTCGCAGGCGGCCAGCTGTTCCAACGGTATTCAAACCAGGTGAGTGTTGAGCTGTAGCCAAGGCAGCTATTTCTTTTCTTTTTTCTTCTTTTTAAACCCTTTTAATTTTCAAAATACTTTTTAAAATTGCATTTTAAAATTAACACATAATTGTACATATTTATGGGGTACATAGGGATGTTTTGATACATAAAATATATAGTGATCAGATCAGGGTAACTAGCATATCTGTCTACTTCAAACATTTATCATTTCTTTGTGTTGAGAACACTCAATATCCTTCTAACTATTTGAGTCTCTCCCTTATTGTGAACTACAGCCAAGGAAGCTGTTTCTATACCTCACTTCTGTTTTCTCTAATCTGCTTTCCTTTCTCTGTTCATAAATTATCTTTAGCTAAGTGGCAGCG